TCAGTGTAGAGATGAGGTCTCGCTGCCCAGGCGGGTCTCAACCCACGGGCTCAGGCAATCCACTCACCTCAGCCTCCCAAAGGCGCGGGATTACAGGCTAAGCCACCGAGCCCAGCTTCAACCACCATATTTAATATTGTAACCTGCTCCCTCCTCTTAACTCCCCTATTGTGCTCTACTTTTTTTCTATAGAAAATAAATTATAGTATAGTGCATGTATTTAGTATGTTTACTGTTTATTGTCTATCTCCTGGAGTCTATGTTCTGTGGGAGAAGGGGACTTTTTTTTTTGTTTCCTGGTATAACCCCACTGGTACAAAGTAGGCACTCAACAAATGTTTGTCAAACAAATAAATGAATATGTTCTCATAAACCAAAGGATTGTAAAAAACAACTGTATTTGTTTCCTAGAGCTGCTGTAACAAACTACCACAAACTTAGTGACTTTAAAAAAAACACAAATTTGTTATCTTATAGTTGTGATCAGAACTCCAAAATAAATTTCACTGGGCAGAACTTGAGGAATCAGCAGGACTGTGTTCCTTCTAGAGGCTCTAAGGTAGAACCCACAACATTGCTTTTGCCAACTTCTTAAAGTCTGCCTGCATTCCTTGACCCATGGCCCCTTCCCCCATCTTCAAAATCAGCACAGTAGCATCTTCAAATTTCTCTCTGTCTTCTGGTTCCATCATTACATTTCCTCTCCTTTCTGACTCGGATCCTCCTGCTTCCCTCTTTTAAGGATCTCTGTTATTATGATGGGCCCACCTGGATAACCCAGATAATCATCCAGGCTCAAAATTCTCAACTTAAACACATTTACAAAGCGCTTTTTACAGTGTAGGGTGAGACTCTGGGACTCACAGAATCTAAGGATTAGGACTTGGACATCCTCAGGGTGCCCAAAAATCAGTTTACCAGAGTCACTTTCTAGATGACCCTGTTCTTCCTCTTAATGCCTAAAATAACAGATCTGCAGAGCCAGTAGACCCCTTGGTTCTCATAATTTCACTCCCTGGCCACTGCCCCAGCTCAGGTCCTCACCTTAAGCATCTCAATAGCCTCCTAAATGGTCTCTCTACATCATCTTGTCCTTCCAAATTCATCCCCTACTCCACAGTAATCTCAAATAAATGGTACATTCTAAATATGCACAATTTATTGTATTCAACTATGTCTCAATTTTTAAAAAAAAGCTGATAGGGGAAGAATAAAAAATGATCAATCCAAAAGAAAGCAAAATAAAGCTTAAAAAATGGCGGAAGAACATAGAACAGAGGAATCGATAGAAATCAAATAGTTAAGTGCCAGATTTAAACCTAAATATGTCACTACTTTACATGTAAATGAATTAAATGCTCAAATTTTTTTAATTGCCTAACAGTATTAAAATAAAACCCAGCCATATGCTCCTTACAAGAAGAATTCAGTTGTTGAGATTAAAAGTAAAACGGAAAAGACATACCTTGTAAATGTATTTTTTTGTCAGAATAATGTTTGTCAGAATAATAAATGTTTTTATTGTCAGAATAATGTCATGTATCAACCAAAGACAAAATCTTAGTCATGTTTAACATTTAGAGTGTATTGCTCACACATCTGAGCTGATTGCTGTCTGTTGTGCTGATTTAGGACGACTCCAGACTCCAGACTGGGACGACTTAGCTCTACCCTGTGTGCACTCAACCAAGTTGACCTGAGTATGTTCTCATGGTGATGGAAGTTGTCCAAGAGAGTAAGTCCTAAACACAAGCCCATTCCAAGCCTCTGGTTCAAGGGATGTCTGTTCACATGGTTGCGTCCAAAGTAAAAAATCTGAGCAGATCAGCCACCTCATGGTAGGGGGGGTAAAGTTACATGGAAAAGGGTGTGAACACCAGGAATGTAACTAAAAGAAAGGTGAATAATCAGGGCCAAATGATACAATCTACCTCTCTATATGACCACCAACAGGCCAATAAGCATTATTAGAGACAAAGAGAGATAGTCCTTGTTTGTTTTGAGTTGGAGTCTCACTCTGTAGCCCAGGCTGGAGTGCAGAGTGCAGTGGTATGCTCATGGTCACCCCAGCGTCGACCTGCTGGGCTCCAGCGATCCTGCTGCCTCAGCCTTTCAAGTAGCTGTAACTACAAGCACGCACTACCACACCCAGTTAATTTTTGATTTATTGTAGAGACAAGGTCTCGCCAAGTTGCCTGGGCTGGTCTCGAATCCCCAGGCTCAGGCAACCCACTCGCCTCGACCTCCCAAAGTGCTGGAATTACAGGCCGAGCCAGAGAGCCCAGCCGAGAGATATTTCATAATGATTTTTTTTTTTGAGATGGGGTCTCACTTTGTCACTCAGGCTGGAGTCCTGTGACATGATCACAGTTCACCACAGCCTCGAAATCTTCCCGCCTCAGTCTCCTGAGTAGCTAGGACTACAGATACATGCCACCACGCCTGGCTAATTTTTTTTGGTAGAGTCAGGGTGTTGCCATGTTGCCCAGGCTGGTCTCAAGTTCCTGGCCTCAAGCAATTCTCACACCTCAGTCTCCCAAAGTTCTGGGATTATAGGTGTGAGCCACAGCACCTTGCCAAAAAATGACTTAAAATTTTTTTTCAATTTGTAGGTACCCAATCACATAGCCTCTAAAGGAGAAATAAGTAAATACACATTTGTGGTGGGAGATTATCATACCCCTCTATAAAGCAGAACAGAATAAGCAGATTAAAAAGTCTGTAAGGACACAGAAGACTGTAACAACTTGATTAACAAACTTGTCTTTTTTTTTTCTTTTCTGCGTTGGAGTCTCACTCTGTCGCCCAGACTGGAGTGCAGTGACCGCTCCCGGCCACCGCAGCCTCGACCTGCTGGGCTCCGGCGATCCTTCCGCCTCAGCCTTCCAAGTAGCTGGAACTACCTTGCTAATTTTTTTTTATTTATTATAGAGATGAGGTCTCACCAAGTTGCCCAGGCGGGTCTCGAACCCGCGAGCTCAGGCAATCCACTCACCTCAGCCTCCCAAGGCGCGGGATTACAGGCTGAGCCACTGAGCCTGGCTAACAAACTAGTCTTAACATTTATAGAACACTGTACTCAACAAATGCAGAATGTATTTTTTGTTCAAATGGACATGGAGCATATATCAAAAGTAATAATATATTGAGTCACATAACTGGTTTTCATAAATTTTAAAGGATTGACATTTTATGAATGCATTTTCTGACTACCACGCAATTTACCCAGAAATCAACAAGAAAAAGACAACTAGAAAATTCCACATTTGGGAATTAAGCGCCACATTTATAAAAACCAATGAGTCACACACACACACAAAAAAAATCACAATGGAAATTAGAAACAAGTTTCAGTCGGGCTCGGTGGCTCAACCTGTAATCCCGCACCTTTGGGAGGCTGAGGTGAGTGGATTGCCTGAGCCCGCGGGTTCGAGACCCGCCTGGGCAGGCGAGACCTCATCTCTACAATAAAATAAAAAAATTAGCCGGGCGTGGTAGTGCGCGCCTGTAATTCCGGCTACTCGGAAGGCTGAGGCGGAAGGATCGCCGGAGCCCAGCAGGTCGAGGCTGCGGTGGCTGGGAGCGGCCACTGCACTCCAGTCTGGGCGACAGTGAGACTCCAGCTCAAAAAAAAAAAGAAAAAAGTTTCAGTTGGCTGATGATAAAACTGCTACATACATATAGACTTGGTGTGACTAATTGCAAATACTGGAGAGTCCAAAGGCATATACTGTGAACAAAGCCCTATGCCTGGGAGAGTGGTAAACTGCGTGGATGCTGAACAAAAGGCTGCTTTTTAGCCAGAGTCGTAAGCACCACCATTTTCCACAAACCCACAGAGACTTTGCTTTGTGTCTGCCTGTGCCATCAGCCAGGGGAGCCGAGTTCGCAGGAAAATTCAACATAATATTTACAGGGGGATTTCCAGGCCTCACCCTGATTCCAACACGCATATGTCCAACAGCCTACTGAAATCTCCACTTGGGTTCGTCAAAGCACCCTCAAAATTAATATCCCGAAAAGGGAACCCTTGAGTTTTCCCTCCAAAACCAACTCTCCCTAAATCTGTCCCATCTCAGAAAAGGACACCGCCACGCACCAGCCAAGTAAGCCAAAAGCCAGGGTGGGGCCAGGATTGGGATAGTAGTGGGCTCATCCCTCCTGCCACGACCAACCAGGAAACTGGATAAAACACCCTGAGGCGGTTATCGCAGGTCCTGAGCCACCAGCGAGCAGGGCCGAGGGGCTTGCGGGGGGAGCGGTGTGGACGGGGACTCAAACGACCCGACCCCATATCGAAGGGATCGACGAGCCTCAGGTTTGGCTGCCCACTGGAATGACTCATGTCACTTCCTCTTTCTGGCGGTGCTCAAGGAGGAAGTACGGAACTAAACTCATTTACTTACAGAGACTTCTCAGTCCCAATCCAAACCTGAATTCCGCGCTTGAGGACACCAGGGTCTCTCAAGATGGCGGCGTGGCAGAAGCCGGTCAGTCCGAGCTAGGTGGCGC